CAAGGAAGTTGTAGTCTCCTTGCCTTCTCATAGAATTGTTTTATAGACTGTCAGTGCATTTGCTAATGTTACAATGATTATCCTAGTAATAGCTAACTTTTGAGCACCCTTTAATGTGCTCAGCATTACGTGTATTATTTCATTGAAGCTCATTAAAATTTTTTTAAAACCTTGAGATATATTCTCCATTTTACTGATCAGCGACCAGAAAGCTAAAATACCTTGCCCAAATGTCAGAGCTGGGATTTAAATCTAAGCAGTTCGGTTGCAGTTTACTCACTTTTCACATGAGTCAGCTGAGATGTACCGAATCATTGGTCTAAGGTCATATACATGGTAAGTGGTAGAACTGGAATTTGAATCCCAAGTGGTTTGACCCCAGACTTAGGACTTTTCACTGTTTGTTTGCTGTGTAACTTTCCCTGTGTAAGCACTTCAGGCCTGAGACCTCCTACTATCCATCCATCTAATCATCCCCAGAAAAATAATTCGTATTAGGTTCTTAAATGTTTGAGAATAGATTAATGAACTTTCCTGCCTAATATGTAACATTACTAATGTAGGCATTAACCACTTACTAGTTCAGTTATTTAAACATAAGATGACTAAAAATTGCATATTTTTGTTTAATTTTTGTAAGATAAAATATAAAAACACTTTTACCAAGTTTATTCAATTCTTCTGTGTATGGTGTTCTGGACAGCAGTATGTAGTCTCTTCAAGTTCTTTTTGTATTATTGTCTTTCTTTGAACAGCACACTTTACACTGTCACACTGACCTTTCCTTTTTTTGGTGGGATACGATTTCAATAAAATACTACCCACGAAACATGACGGTTCACCTTTGTCTTTAGACGCTGATGACAGACATATTGGTTAGGGTTTCACTATCCTGTATTTTTCAATTATTTAAACTATTAGACTTAATCTCAATTATAAATGACTTCTCAAACCCCCTGATTTTTAATAAATAGCAAGCAAATTCCATATTGTTTGGTCCAGAAGTTACATAAATATCTTATAATAATATTTTGTCTTTGTTTTTTGATTATAGGATAGATTGTTAGATGGTCAATTCTGTCAACACCATCCAAAAAATTATTATAATCTCTGGCCACTATTGGAACTTTTTTATTTTTTTTTTCTTTAAGTTGTGTCATTTCTGTATTTGAGTATATAACAATAAGGAGACATCTTTTTGTCTTTCCATTTCATCACATGGGACTCTTCCCCTTTGATGTGCTAACATTTCTCTTTCAGTTTTTTCGTTTTTCTTTTGCGTATCATTTGACATTTCCTTCCTGTTTAGTCTCAGTGTTCCAAATGTGTTAGTTTCATATTATAAAAGAATATCACTGAGTTCTGGAGAAGTATAGAAATTATATCTAATGTACTCACAATAAGAGATTGTAGCACAAAATTACAGGTTATTTTCACAAATAAATGAATTATTAAAAGAAAATAACCAGAACTTACTAAACTTCACAAGAAACAAATATCAAAGGCAAATACCGTGTTCTAAATAAGAGTATGCAAAAATAGTCGATTATAAAACAAACATGCCAGGTGTGGTGGTGCACAATTGTACTCCTCGCCCTCGGGAGGCTAAGGCAGGAGAATCACTGTGATTTCAAGGCCACTCTGTCTCAAAAAATAAAACAGTAAAAAACCACCAGAGGTACAAGTTTACTTTTTATCGTCAGGAATTGGATGGTTGAAATGACACCTGCTTAAGCGGTGCTGGGGATGCTCAGGACATAAATGCCCTGTCCATAAATTACCCTGGGGCTAAACTGTTAAGTGGTTAATATTTGCATTGTCAAACATAACTTTTGTTTTTGTGGGAGAGTTTTTTGTTTGATTATTTGTTGTTTTGGGTTTTTTTGTCTTTTGTCTTTTTGAGACAGGGTTTCACTGTGTAGCCTTGGCTCACTGTGTAGCTCAGGCTGCCCTTGAACTCACAGCTGTCCTCCTGCCTCGGCTTCCCCCAGTGCTGAGATTATAGGCGTATACCACCATGTCCCACTTCTTGGCTTTTGTTACAGTTCTTCATCCTCTCCATCCTAATTAATCTTCTACCTATGCCTACTTAGATCTGCATTGCCCTTTCCTTTGCCTACATTTTACCAAGCCCAACCTACCTGAAATGCTTCAGTGAGAAAGAGATGCTCAAGATTAGAGAAAGAAATGAATACTCTATAAATTATAGATTGAACTAAACATAATGTAAAAATGTCAACAAAAACAACCAGCAAAGTCACTTGAAACCTATGAGGGAAGATAGCAGAGAAAAATGGGAAAAGAGAGTATACACAATGATCAGGAAAAACATATAGAAAGGAATGAAGAAAGGAAAACAATAGGACTTTTCCACCACAATATCTTTTTTTAATTGTGCCTTTAATTGTTCAGGATAATGAACGATAATTTGGTGTGCATTATCCCATGCCATAAGTTGGCAGTATTTAGACAGGAGCCTTTGTTACAAACTTCTGGTCAGACACAAAGTTACTGAACTGGATGATCTCTGAGTCCCTTTTTTGTTGTCCTCATCCTGTGGTCTGTGTTTACAGTACACAGTGGTTACATTTATCATGAAGGATCAAGTTCCATGTGATAACTATCAGTCTCTCTTAATGATGTGTAATACATAGTATGATCACACTTTGACCCACTTTATGTTAATTTTTCTTAAAAAAGAAATAGTTTTTCTATGTCTTACTATAAGAGAATGGGAATATTTCTACTTCTGGATAAGGATGGTTATTAGTTAAGACCAGGGAAGAATAAGATTGTTACATGGAAGACCAGGGGAAAATAAGATTATTGCAAGGTAGAGGACCACATGAAAACCAGAAAAGACAGAACTAATCATCCATCTTATTGGGAGACCAGTAGATGTGGGGATAAATGACTACTTGACCTCCTTAGTTGTCTGAGGTTTAGAAAGAAGAATTTACTTAAGATTAAGAGACAGTATTTGTTTAAGGATATAAGGTACTTTTTGTGTGTAGATTATTTTGTTAATCTTTCAATGGACTACATATTAACAGCAGTATAATAAATATAAAAAAATCTTGCAAATTCTCTAACACCTGTTTTCTCTGACCCAGCCATATACTTTCTATATATTCATTGTCAAATTACTTGACACTTTCTAATAGGAATTAATGTTTGCTCTTCTGCAGATGTTCAATAACAGTTTTTTAAATAAAATGTATGTAATTATTTGCCTCATGTATAAAATGTTCAGAAAGTATTATAAAATTTATTGAAAAAAACTTAGTTTATCAGTTCTTAAGATGAGTATTGACTCATGTAATTAAAACATGGCCCTTGTGTTCTTTACAGTAATCATGTAAAGAAAAAGGGAAGACCTAGAGGTGCTAAGGTATAGATTATTGCAATATTATTGAATATTTTATATCTATATCTATATCTGGTATTGGGGTAGGCACTGTAACAAAATGCAAAATATGAGTAAAAGTAAGTGTATGAGGAGCCCTCTATAATTCCCGGAGAAGGGATGGTAGAATTATTATACTGCTAGTTGGAGAACTTAGGTCATCCAAAAAAGGTCTATTGAGGGCCTTGAATTTAGAGAGATTAAGCACTGGAATTTATATTTTTTTCACCAACAGTCAATGAAAAGCATCTGTATGTTTAGGGTCAATAATAGGGTTAGTACTAAGAGTGAGAAGTAAGTAATATGTCCAGAAAAGATGTATGGTCTGAGTGAAACCAAGTGGTACTCTAAGAAAGCAATCCAAGGCCGGGGAGTAAGCTCAGCGGCATAAGCACCTGCCTGGCAAGTGCGAGGTCGTGAGTTCAATCCCCAGTACCAGAAAGAAAACCTTTACCAAGAAAGCATTGCAGAGTGAACACCTGCTGTTGGGTTTCACAGACAGTACGTTCTGTGGGATTTCTGCGTTGAAGTTAATGTCCATGCTGCCTGTGGTGTTGCTTCCTCCATTCTGCCTTGCCACAAGACCCAGTCACTAGGATGGTTTAAAGGATTGGAACCTTTTGGGGAAGACATGGATTTTTAGCCTGGCTCTGCTATATCTGCTCTTATCAGTTTCCATTTCTTATACAGTATCTGTGGTCGGAGTTACAAAATATTCTGGTACACTGTTGACTGACTTCAGTGCCTACTATGTGGTAAGTGCTCAATGAAAGGTCAGCAGTAAAGATTCCACAGTCTGTCATTGCCTGAGATTCAGATTCACATTCAAAATGTTTCACCCATCCTCATTTGTTTAGCACTTTGTACTCATCATTCCGCACTCAAGTTGCTGAAAGCAGAGCTGTTTGTCAGATATAATATGCTCTACCCTTGGAAAAGCACAAGTGTGACTGCTGTTGCCTCCCAGTCTTTCTGCTCCTCCCTGATTCCGCCACTCTTTTTCCCTCTGTCCTTGTGGTAACATTGGCCCTTCTGCTGTTCCTTGAGCACACCAAGCTTCCACAAGAGTCCAGCTCTCTGGAACCCCTGATGTAGTCTTCCTGTGTGTCTCTTAGAAAGATCTCACCTAGCTAGCTAAAGTGTTACCCTGCATCCTCTTCTTAGCCTGCTTTGTATTTCTTCGTGGCCCTTCTTGCTCTCATACCACCTGAAATTATTTTACATATTCGTTCATTGTCATCCTCCCTTTATGGAATGTAAATCCCTTCATCAGTGCTGTGTTTTCAGAACCTGAAACAGTTCAGAGGAAGCACTCAGTTCATATTTGTTAAATGAAGATTTAAAAGTTTGCAAATTGTAGCTGGGCGTAGCAGCGCATGCCTGTAATCCCAGCACTCAGGAGGCTGAAGCAGGATTGTTGTGAGTTCAAGACCAGCCAGAACTGTGTAGCAAGACTGTCTCAAAAAGAAAAGAAAAAAAAGTCCGTGAATTGTCAACCCAAACATGAAAATTATTCTTTAAAGATCATTCTAGAAGTAGCTTAGTTACGAACATTACTGAACAAAAACTAAATTGCAATTTTATTTTCTTCTAGGAAAGTATTGACAGTGGAGCAGTCGAGAAAGTCTCCCTTCGTAAGCGACGTTTCATGCAGTTTTCTTCCCTGGAACATGAAGGAGAATATTACATGACGCCACGAGACTTCCTGTTTTCAATAATGTTTGAACAAATGGAACGTGAGTTTTAGTATTTATGCTTAAAAAGTAAGCTAGGGCTGAAAAAACTTTTTGAATTGGTAATAGCTTTTCTCTTCCTCCTTTTCATCCTCCTCCTCCTCCCCACAATTAATGAAATTGTACTGCAAAATATTTTTTAAAAACAATGCCAAATGACGTCATAAATTCTTAGTTTTATTACCTAAACTAGTGCCTTTCACTTTGCAGGCTCAGTTTGCAGTCTGTGAAAAACTTTCTGTCTCCTGACACCTTTTAAGGTGCTGTGGAATCCTCCCTCTGAATAGCTCTGTTTGCAGGAGCTTTAAAGGGCAGGAGCAGGGTGAGCAGGCAGAGGAATACAGATTGAGCAGCTTGGAAATCACCTGTGGTGGTAGGCATTGTAAATACTGAAGAGTGACTTGGAAAAGACAAACAAGTCTGGGGTTTGGCTCAGCAGCACAATCAGCAGCCTGGCAAGCTTGAGGTCATGAGTTTGATCCCCAGGACCAAAAAAATGAGTGAACATAGCACATGGCATATTTCAGGGACAATAAGTTTACTAGAAACAAGAGATTGCTCTGGAGAGTAGTGAGAGATCAAATTGAAAGACAAACAAGGGCCATCCTGTAAACTATTTGACCCTATCCAGCTACCAGTGGAATGTGTATTTGGCAAAAATAAGTGGACTTATCTTCAATCAGTAAGAAACAGTGAAGATTTTTGAGCAGAAAAGTAAGCGTCCATGCATCAGAGACTTGAGGTCACAGGACACACTGTGCTGAAGGCTGGGCAAAAGCAGATGCAGAGAATCAGCTTCTCCACAGCAGAAACCACCCAGAGCCTACCCCTGTGCCATTTTCTTTTTTTTTTTTTTTTTTTTTTTTTTTTTTTTTATTTAAGGAGAAAAGAAAAGAAAAAAAACAGTGAAGGGGTACAAGTTATACAGATTTACAGAAGAAAAAAATGTGCAGTAGGAGGTCACTAGTTAATGGATTACATATTGCCATCTTAGAAATAATTGTTCAAGTCACAAAATTAAAGCTTGTAGAGTGGACATTCCAACAATGATACTGCAAACAGTTCTGTTCACTGATCCAATAAAACTCTGTGATACCATTTTCTATCTCATACATTTAAATATACATGCAGTTATATAGTTTAGAGCACTTTCTTTTCCTCTCTTTTGTACTGTGACTATTACACATTTTGGGTTTCATTGCTCCCACAGTTCTTATTGCTTTTTTGGAAGAGAGTAAAACCAAATGTGACATAACAGAACCGAATCGGTCAAGTCTAAAGGGTGGATATAATAGATAACATAAAAACATAATACAAGGTGATCAACAATGGTTACCATAATGCCTCCCGCTATTTCTAATAGAATTGCCTATATCATTAGTTGTAATACAATTGAACAAAACAGTATAGAATAAAACCGACAAAACCAAAACATTGGAGATATTGTAGGTCTTCAAAAGTAGATAAACGTCAACGAGAATGGGCGTTATAATGAATCTCATTATCTTCTCAGCTGATGCCTAAACTTTCGAACCTGATACTATCCAGCAAAACAGAATAGAGGAACCTGAGTCAAAAACAAGATGGTGAGAGTAATACAGGGCTTCAAATCGAGATAATAGAAAGTCATAGTGGGTTACTATATTATATCCTGCTATTTTTTCCCTTTAATTAAACGGATAAAAATAAAAAAGTAAATAATGGAGTGGAGATTGAGAAAAAAAAGAGGGCATAACAGCGAAACAGGGCAGATCAAAACATAACCATTTAAGCAGAATAGTGTTTCACCACCAGATATTTCCGACCCAAAAGTAGTTACCATATTGACTCTTTCCTTGAAGTCCTTGAGTACAACTTCGTATACCGTAGCATTAAGTATATCAAAACAATGTAAAACCATTTAAGAGAATGACAGCATTATAGAGTATTTAGAATCGACTAACAGAAAATGAACAATGGTTTCTGTATAGTCTCCTTGTCTTTACAAGGTTTTTGCTTATACTATCGTACATAATAAAATCCAATAAGATACAACCTGTTTAGACCATTGGAGACAGAAGAACAAAAGCTAGATGAGACTTCAAAACAAGATGGTACTAAATCAGTATTACCTATTAAGATGTCATTTTCTCCAAAATAGCTGTTCCTATCATCCAATCGTCTCTGTCTCATTTCTGTTGAGCTCTGTTTCTGTCAGTAGCTGTCAGTTTGTCTTCTTCATTTTGTTCTCTGTTCCATTCGTTGTAGCCTCCCCACCACTATTTCTGGGTTCTTTGTATTTTTCTTTTTTTAGAATATCCTGCAATACTTTCTGTAGGGTTGAATTGGTGGTTGCAAATTCCCCCAGTTCCTCTTTATCCTGGAAGCACCTCGTTTTTCCATCAATTTCCAGGGACAGTTGTGCAGGATATCTCAATCTTGGCTGGAGATTATTATCTTTCAAAGCTTGAATTATTTCCCCCCACGCTCTTCGTGATTTGATGGTTTGTGAAGAGAAATCTGCTGTAATTCTGATGGGTGTTCCCTTGTAAGTAGTCTGTTTCTTGTCTCTTACAGCTTTTAATATTCTGTTCTTGTATTGAATTTCTGGAATTTTTATTATTATATGCCTGGGTGTTTCTCTGTTAGGGTTGTAGGTAGCTGGGGTCCTGTATGCCTCATACATCTGAGTATCTTTACCTTTTGCTAAATTAGGAAAATTCTCCTGGATTATTTCTGTGAGTAGCTTTTGTAGTTCACTTGTTTGTGTCCCTACTTCTTCTTTTATGTTCTTAATCCTTAAGTTATGGCTCCTCTTATCATCTTCTTGTCTTTGTATTATTGCTGTTTGTTTCTTTGTCATTTTTAAGAAGTTTTTCATTTCATTCTCCCATATTACAAGTCTGCCCTCCAGTTCAGATAGTCTGTCCTTAGTTTCTTTCAAGCTGTCATGCCAGTCTTTGATAGACTTCTTAATTTCTTGATAGTCCCTTTGAACCTGCTTCACATACTCAGTGTTTTCTCTGTTTTCTCCATCAAGCAATTCTCCCCTCTTTTTCTGTTCTTCCATTCCACCATCTGTTTTTTCCTGGGTGGTGCTTAGCATTTCTCTAACTATTCTGCATACTTCTAGCTTCAGGTCGTTTATAACTTCATTCCTGAATTGGTCTATGAGGCTCTCTAGATGGCGCTTAATGTATATTGGTGTGGTGTCCACTATTGCCTGTTTCTCAGGATTGGGGGCCGAGGAGCCTTTTTTGTTGCTTCCCTTCCCCATATTTTCTCTTCCTTATAAAATGCAAGCTTACAAAGGAAGCCCGGCTTCCCTGCCTGTCAGCCACAGCCTGGTCAAATTGCGCTGGCTAGTTGTTCCCGCCCACCGCTGCGCCCCAGGGAGTTGCGGAGGAGGGAGCCTATGCGGGAGTCGGTCACTCCTCCGGGCCACCGTCAGGCTCTGGGATCTGGGTTAGGCCAGCCTAGGGAGTCCGCCAGCAGCGTCACTCAGGCCAGGGACTTTTCACCAATCCCGTCCGAGAGGGGAATGTGTGGCTGGAGTTGCCACGGCGCCCTGCTCCGACAGGACTGCCCGAGCCCAGAAAAACCTCCGCTGGAGTCAAACTGTGGTAGGGGCTCAGTTTTCTCGCTCATCTTGCCACCAGTCAGTTTTCGTGTACGCCTCCTTGTCCGTCCTGTTTTCGACTCCGTTCGCAGACTCCCGTTCCCGAGCTTCTGCGCGTCTCTCCTTGCCGAGCCGCTTGTGGAGGCAGCCAGCCGCCGGGCGGCGGGAAACCCAAATCGCGGCGGGATACCCAAATCGCGGTTTCCAATGGCGCGTAGTCGAGCCTCCACACCGAGCCTTTTCTGTTCCTATTTTAGCGCCAGGACTATATTTTAAGTTGGTTTCTCTCAGCCCAGTTCGTTCCTGAGTCAGCAGAGCATATCTCTACTGGTTCGTGACTCCTTAGTCCGCATCATTCCTGGCCTCTGAGCCGAGCCTTTCAGAGAGCCTTCGGTAGTTGCTGTTGTCTGTCCGCCATGTTCTCCTCCGGATCCCCCCTGTGCCATTTTCAAGCAAGATTCAAGAATAATTGACTGGGTTGAGATAAAAATAACTGAAGACCCATATACTTTTGTGAATTTTACTTTAAGGAGCTCCAGCTTCTCCAAGGAAAATCTAAGAAAACCCTTCTTTTCCTCAAGGGGAGGAGAAAATAGCCATTGCAGAATGCTCCTGAGAATTTCATTCTCCTTAACAAAGACCTGCACAAAAAACAAACTATATTACCACAACCTGGCCAACCTGGAGGAGCTCTCTGTAGCCTTTTGTCTCACCTAACGGTTGTTTTGTTTTGTTTTCCTTTGTTTTGTTTTGTTTTGGGATGGTCTCACTATGTTGCCCAAGCTGGTCTTGACTGACTGAAAGATTGAGAACTGGTCTTGGAACTGTGTAACATGTAACACACCCAGCTTTCCCACACACACCTCACTACCACCTCAACAGAGCCCCTCTATTCAAATACTGCAGACAGTGTATATAGCAAAATCCTAGACAGGTAAACATAAAGGGCTTGGGGTATAGCTCAGTGTCAAGCAGTTTATCTCGCCTGCACATTACACTAGGTTCAATTCCTAGTACACACAGTATTTACATCAGTATCTCCTGACTCAGTAAGTCAGAAGGCTTGCTAAAAGAAGAAAAACCCAGTCTGGAAGTACAAGGCAGAAATCAGTACTAGATTGAAATACAGCAGGCCTTTTGGAATTGTGAGGTCAGGAAATTAAAATAACCGTGATTAGTATGTTCAGGACCCTAATGAAAAAAGTACACAGCCTTCAAGAACAGGGAGATAACTGCTGTAGTTGGGTCCTGAACAGTCCCCAAAAGCACCAGTGTTCAAACCGTGGGCCCAGCCTGGGTGCCGTAAGGAACCTTTGAACCTTACTGAAGTACGTTAGGTCATTGGGGCACCCCTTGCAGGAGCTGGCAGGATCCTGCTCTTTTTCTTCTCTTTCTTAATTCCCTG